TCCAACTACTAATGTGTTCAGAAGAGCAGGTCATTAAGATGGTTGGCTACTAAAGTAACCCCTTTCCTCCAATAGCCCACATTACTATAATGATTCCTTAATAGCAAACCATTTATTAAGAAATGACACAAAGACTACATTCTACTCATGACAGGGAAGAAAGGGGTAGGAGATGAATGACTTAGAAATAACATCTGAAGAGACAATTTCCAAAAGTTATTCTTTTGAGAAAAACTCCTCAGTGGAACAAAATTCACAGAAAGTTCAAGATAGAGTAATTACAGTACTGCCTAAGAAAGTTGGGGACCCAGGTCTTACTACTTATATGCATTTATAGATTTCTGAGTTTCATTTTGTATTGCTTTAAAGTTTGGGAGTGCAAATGGAGAAGGTAATTATTTACTCTTCTTAATTCAAAGCATATTTTTTTGATCATCATCATGTATACAAAACTGTGGTGAGCTATTTAGGAACACAAAAGAGGCTACAGGATCTGTAGGATTAAAGGTCATCTGGTATAACCCTCTGACTTCATGAACTATGAAAGTTACTTAACCTCTTTGTGCCTCAGTTCCTTCCTAGTGGTGGTATGCAGATTCAGTGGGATGATGTGCTTAAAGATCTTAGCCTAGCATCTGGCCCCAAATGTTTGCTTAATAAATGTTAGTCCTTGTTATCGTGATGGTGATGGCTATAGCAGTAGGTGGTGATGGTGGTAGTGGTGGTGAATTTTTGTATTTATTGTAATTATTATTAGAATTATGAGGTCCAAAGAGCTTAAATGACTTAACCAATTTACACGGGTGGTTATTGGCAGTGCTGGGACTCTAGAAGATCTCTCTCAAGCCCAGACCAGCACTTTTTCTATGCCCTAGGATGTCTATCTTGATAGCCCTCAAAATGCACTCAATCTAGTTGGAGGGAAAATGTTATATATGAGATAATTAAAGAAAGATAGTCTATGGTCAAGTATAAATGGAGCAAAATCAGGTTTCACAATATATAGAAAAGATAGAAAGTGCTGTGGTTGATCCAAAACTTCCTTAACACCCCCACATTTGATTGACAGTGGCTGCGTAATCTTTGTAACACATCAGAAGGCAGTTAGTTGTTAGCTTCAGAAACTCAACATGGCATCCCAGGCAGACTTTGGACAAGTCATTTAACCCTTGACAACTTTTACTTCCCTAATTTATAGGACCTTTCACCATTATTAGCTAAGAAACTCATTGTATTATATATATTTTGTCGATACTTTGTATTTGTTTGAATAATATGATCATTTGCTTATTTATGCCCTATTATAGTACACAATTAGGAACCGGTCTTTTATACCTGTTTATTATCCTGGAAGAGGTGACAGATATGCATTGCGAAAATTCTATTTTCTTTCTTGACAGCCTGGTTTAGGCCTTCATTCCTTTTTGCTAGGACTCTTGAATCAACGTACCAACTTATTTCCCCATCTCCAGAGTCTTGATCCTCTTCTGTGAATGTTATATGCTGTTGTCATATTTCCTCAGATTCAACAAGTGTCTTATCACTTCCCTACTTAGAAACTGTCATGGATCCCACAGATCACTCAGTTTACATCCTACCTCAAAACTTATGTACACACTTTGTCATTTGCCTAGAAACCCTCTCTTGTCTCCTTCTCTCCCTCTTTAAATCCTCACCATACTTGAAGGCTTAGCTTAAGCACCAACACGTCTTGAAATCAACCCTATTTCTGATCCCATAAGCCAATATGATCTATTACTCCTTTGAACTTTCCTAATACATTCTTTGTATTTTTCCTGTGAGATTGAATGCATTTGGTATTGTGTTAGATATTCAGGTGTTATTTTATCATTTCACTAGGTTGTAAACCTCGTGGGGACAGTGACACTATATACCTTTATATTATCTCAAGTTTAAGGCAAATATTGTATATGAGAGTCTAGGTGGTATGGTAGGAAAAGCACAGTTTGGGGGGTCAGACATCCTTGAATTTTGATCCTGGCTCTCATATAATCCAAGGCAAGTGGTTTAACCTCATTCTAGGGCTTAGTTCTTCTCATCTGGAAAAAGTACTTTCCTGAAAAGGTTGTTTTAAGGATTAACTTAGATACAATAAATGAAGTGCTTATCAAAACATGGCCCTAGAGGTACTCTGAAAAGCCTGCCAAAATCTCACCTTTTGAATTCTTAGTTAAAAGTCTCTTCCTGTTCAGATTACAGGCACTGAGAATGCCCAACCCATTTGCAGGGACACTTGGTTGGTGACCCCAACCCTGAGATATGAGGCTTTCTCTTTAGCCATCACAGTATTACTGAATCAGAATCTGTTCCTGTGATCTGACCTTCCATGCAATACATACACACAGATAGTACTGGGGGTTGTTTCCTTACAAGACTCTGGAAGAGGGCAGAGTTTGGGTCTGTGCATTTTTAAGATTATTTAACCCAGGTCGTGAAACCCAGTTTCATTTCAGAAATAAGGTTTTAAAATTCAAGACACACATAATCAGTTTGCCAAGCCCTAAAGTTACTCACCAGAAGTCCAACAGACACTTTGGGAAGAATCGCAGCGCTGCCAGGCCACCTGCTGCTGTTGGCTAGATTACAGCTACAGTGTTCTAAGTGGTTCACAGGAAGTAAATATACAGGAAAGTTAAGGAACATTTCTGTGGGCTTAATTATTTTTTTTAACGTTTCTGAGAGGTGGGCACGCCATGTTTACACATGCGTTTTTCTTCCTTTGCCCATTCTGGCTCCCTTGACATTTTAAAAAGATAAGATAAAAGACATTTCCAGGGTAGAACATGATGGTTAAAGTATTACATATAAGTGCAGCTGGATGTTTAGCAGTGGGTGGAGGGCCTCAGACTGCTTCTCTCAGTGCAGTCAAGTCTGTTTCATTCACATCTTGCCCTGTCTTTCCTTCCAAGAGCGAGGGAATGGGGCTAATCAGGTTTCCTTGGTACTCAGGAGTGCGGCAGTTGCTCCATCCAGCTGAGACCTCAACACCATCCTGAAACTTGTGAAAAAAATCTAAATCCAGACCCTTGACACTGGTCAGCCTTATCCCTCTTCTTTAGTTAATGACAGGTGTGAATCTCAAAGCTCCATGAAGGCACAATCATTAAGTACCGATTAAATGCCAGGCTACTAAAAGGGATGATGGGTTATCCAAATCCATATTTGAGTAACTTTTGAGTAATCTCTTCCCATAAAATACAAAATATTGTAAAACAAAAGGAAATATGCAAATAAATTTAATATAAAAGTCAAATTAGGAAATGGGTAGTAAAATGATTAATTTGAACTGCTTACATTTATAGTAGTCAAGTCTAATCATTTCTTTTTGAACTAAAGGAACTTCTTCCATTAAAGCCTGTCATTCAGAGACGTGTTTGAATTTCAAAAACTGTATGCAAATTTCCGTTTTTCATTTCTTAACAGTGACTGTTTTTATATACGGCAGTTATTATTAAGGATTAGCCATTGCTATTAACCAAATGACTGAGTGTTTATTCTTGGAGGTTGCTGTATCCTCCCACACCTTTTCTTGATTCCATTGTTTTATTATGACATCACAATTTCCCCAAGCAATAATCCTGGAAACATCCCATACCCTCTCTTTCCCATTATTACCACATGCAAGAAGTCAACACATTTTCTTGATTTTAACTTCTAAGTAAACTTAGACCAAACTCCTCCTTTTCATCTCTTGAATTTAGACCACACTCCTATCTTGTCTTGTTTAAATGACTCCACTGGCCTCTATGGTTTCACTGATTATGTTCTTCAACTGACACCACACCCCCAACTATGCCTCCTCTCATACAGGGTGATGTTTCCAGATTATAAATATAAATTTGATGGTAGCATTCTAATACTTTGTTAGTTCTCCTTTGACTAGAAATCAATTCCATTTGACCAATGCTACTGACTGCTTCTTGGTGTCAGGGTTTGTACTAGATACTTGCAATATAACCCCAACAGTCCCCAATTATAGTAGAGTATGATAATTGTATCTATTGTTTCTGCTTTTGCATAATCTTACAAAAGAAGAGATTATTTGCACTTATATAGTTGTACCACTAATTTTACACAGAGTTGTTTTATAAGATTGGTAGATGTTATTCATTTAAAAATACTGGTTATGCAACTACTGAAAACAAGGTATTTAGACACTCTAGGTAGAAAATACAGGAATCACATCTCACACAACGGTCAGCTCTGAAAATCACATATAGTCAAAATTGTCCTTGACGATTCCTTAAATCAGAGGTCAGCAAATTCTTCTATATAAGTATTTTCTGCTTTGTGACCCATATAGTTTCTGTTACAGCAGCTTGTCTCTGCTCTCGTAGTGTGGAAGCAGACACAATACCTAAATAAATGGGTGTGGCTATGTTCCAGTAAAAACTTTATCTATAAAAACTACAGCTCGGACTGTAGTTTGAGGACCCTGCCCATGTGGGATGAATATTAAAGTAAAGGCCTGTACAGGGCAATTCAGAGTAAGGAGAAGCCACACCTTTCTCATTGCAAGTACTTAAAAATGGGTGGCCTAGAAAGATGAATTTGCAGTTCAGAACTAACTCCGAAATACAGATGAGTGGAAGCTATCAGGATCAGACAAAGTTAGAAAAGCCTGACAAATGTTTTGGCTGGTCATCAAAGAAAAGTCTCAGACCAAAACATGGAGGTACTTTTGTTAAAAGCATCCAAGAACATTGCAATCTCCATGACAATTCATCATTAAAAAAAAAAAAAAATCAGAGAGCGAGAAAAGGCGAAAGGTGCATGAGAAAAAATATGTTTTTCTGGTATAGACTATTTTTATTGTCAACATTCTTTTGAGGTCAGAGTTTATTACTGATTATTTTGGATAAGCTTACCATATAAATTTAAAAATAAAATGTGTTAAATGCAACAGTGAAATATACTCTCATTGGTCTTTTATTCATAGAACTTATGTGATTTATTTTTTTTTTCTTGTTTTATTCTAGCACCAATAGCTGCAGGAACTGGCCCAAATTTTTCTCTCTCAGATTTGGAAAGTTCTTCATACTACAGCATGAGTCCAGGAGCAATGAGGAGGTCTCTACCCAGCACATCCTCTACCAGGTAATGTGATTGATGACTCAGAAAAGGTCATGCTTCATAGTACCACACTTTGATTTTAATTCTAGGCCTGCTAGGCACTTAGCAATGTGCCTATAGTAGCGAAGGTACCAGAAAGTGGATTCAGCCTCAAAAGACTTTTAATCTCATTGAGGAGAGAAAGCAAATTCACATGTAGCAGAAATATACATGTACATATACATACATACATACACACACACACACGTACATACCAGAGAGTAAAAACAGTGAACTAAATTTTGTGACAAAGGGTAAAAATAGTTAAAGAAGACTTTATCCAAAAAGAGTGACTTGTGCTCAGGTATAAACGTTGGTTAGAGTTGGTGAGATGGAGAGGGAATGGAACGTTATTCCATGAGAGGAGAAGACATGAGCAAAAGCACAGGGGAAGGATGGGTGATGAACGCAGCATGTTCTCAAGAAATTAAGGACAAGGCTACTAGGGGAAAGGGTGTATGTTTTGGGGCGTTTGGCACAAAGTTGGCACTGGTGACACCAGTCCCAGTCCCCATGCTCACAGTAGACATCGCAGCTCAGTCCCAGCTCTTCCCTACTGAGCCTCCAGAGGTCTCAAAATCTAGTCTATTGGAGTTGCCCTAAGAGATAAGCCTACTTGATATCCTAGTGTGAGGTTATAAAAATGAATGCAGTCCTGTGGCAGAGTGGGGCTAGATCGTAAACCCCACTGCACCGGGAGACCTTTAAAAAAGTAAAGCTGGGAGAGCACAAGCAGATAACGATTGCAGGGCGCTTGATCCCCTTGAGATCACAAAGCCAAAATCAAAATGAAACGTTTTGCAAGATCCTGTTGTCTCTAGATAACCTGGACCAGAGGGAAAGGGATTAGGCATTAAACCCACAGTATTCTTTTACAAATTGGCTTTAGCACTGGACTGTGACAACAAAGAAAAGGATGGTGCAGAACAATCTTTAATGTTTGTGAACTTCGCAGAAAAACATTGGACAAAGGCATATTCCTCCGAAAGCAAGTACCAGAGTTTTATGATTTGAAACAAAGTCCAGATTATAGAAATTTTCCTTGGTAGAGACTTAGTTTTACCTTGACTTTATATATTTTAACCATCATTACAAAAAAAAAAAAAAAAAGAAATCAGCTTAGTTATCACCAGTATCTTGGAAGAAACAGTTATTCTCTAAATATTATCACCAAATCCTACCATCCTCTTTCATGTTGTTTAAATGTTCCCCTTCGTTCACTGTCATATCAGCTCCCCATGAACAAAAATGTCTGAAATCCAAAGTACATTTGTAATAAAAGAATGAGATTGTGAACACAATCGGGCGCTAATACATTTTGAGGATTTTGAATGTTTGCTGATGGAAAAGACATTGTGTGTAACTGCACTCAGTCAACATGAAAAAGCTTTGCAAACACTTGTGTGCAGTGATTAATTTAAAAGTTGATGGGCTGTTTGTTTTTCATACATGTGCTGCGCATGTACCATGGACGTCCCAGAAAGTGCTCTTCACCCCATCCTTGTGACTTCTCCAGATGTTTTGTTGCTTTTTATTGTGACTCTGAGTGGAAACCTGGTTATTAATGTCATTGAAAAGGCTAGTGTTGTTTACGTATTCTGCAAATAACTAACCCTGATAAGGAGCTAATTATAAATAACGTCGGTAGTTAATAACTCAGTAATATGTTTGTTTTACTCTCATTAGGCTCTCTTAGGATGATTTTTAAAAAATTATTCTTTAAATATATAGACTCAGCAAAATTATCTGTGTACAGGTTAGAAAATGTGCCCAGAAGTATATCCCAGATCTACATATAGAAAAGTTCATCTATCAATCAATATTTGTTCATGCTGTGCAAATATTAATTGGTCACTTACTCTTTGAGAGACATTGTGGTAGTTACTTAACATACCTGGTATGATTTAATCTTCATGATAATTTTACAATACAGATAGTGTTGCTATTTCAGAATGGATCAACCCGAAGATCAGAGAAATTAACTTGCCCAAGGTCACAGGCCTAGTAAATAGCAGAGTCCACATTCAAACTCAGGTCTGTTGAAACTTCAATAATATGCTATTCTTGCACTGAATCCTCTTGAGAACAGGGCTGACTCTTTCAGTAAGGAATAATAGAACTCAAGACCCCCGAAAAGGAGTATCTAACATCTCATCTTCTCCTGGACACTTAGCATTTGATATCCTGAATTATTATTACCATCTTTGAGGTATGTACAGGTCCTGCCTCCCCATCTGGGCTGTAAGTCCCTTAGAGGACAGTGTCGAACTCTTCCAATTCAGCAACAGACATTGTCAAGTACCAAAGATGTTGTCCTTGGCACTGCGGATATAAAGTCAGATAATAGTTTTACAATCTCGTGGTTAGAGACTGACAAGTAAATGGAAAATTTCAGTTCAAGGTACTATGAACACTTTGAAAAGAGGCATTTTGCAATTTTGTGGGTACAAAGTAAGGCTTATAGGCTTTGCACATAGTAGAGAATAAGTACATATTTGGAATGAAGGTAATAGCCTTACCTTAATTTCTAGGTAGAGTTTTTAGGAACACAAGAACAAATTCTACACATAAGAAGAGATAATGCATCACTCCTTAGAAGAGTATTTATCCTCCCTCTTCTGTAGAGATCTTACTGCTACTTTCCTGTTTTCTTAAACTGTTTCAGTGTGCTAGAAAGTCGAGAGCAAGAAACCAAAATCAATGACTGATTCATTTCTAAATTAAAAAAAAAAAAGGAGATTGATAGGCATTAATTGTAACTTCTATACCCCTTCATAGGAAACATCTCCAAAAAATTAGGATAAAATTGGGATAAAATATACTTTATAAAATATTTTGTAAATATTAAAGTATAAAAATTGGGATAAAATATACTTTTTTATCCCAAAGAACTTTGTCAAGAGAAACCAGCAGTCAAGTTTGTGAAGCTTTGTTTTAGAAGCCCTCCACCTGTCCATCCTGGCACTTCTGACTTTTTAACTCCTGGATCTTTTTCTCTCTTCTATCCTGTACCTCTACCCTGTAGACATCTATCTTGTGTCAACCCTTGAAAGTCCTTGTTTTCAAACTAAAGTTTCAGCTAGTAACCACAGATTCTTTCACCTTTGGGATTTAAAAACTACATGAAGTATTTGCATTTTATTAGTGGAAACCAAGGAAATCAAAAGCTTGACAAACTCAGAAAAATATTAATAATGAGAAAATGATGGGCACTAGAGTTGGCTTTTGGGGTTGGATCTCATTGAGTAGTGACACTTAGGCGAATCCTTGTCACAAGTAGTCATATGACTCTTTCCAAATCAGCAGTTTTTGAGCATATGTTGTTGGCCAGACACTGTGGAAGGCACTTGAGATTAAAAGATAATATAGTCTCTTACACTGCAGACCTCATAGTCCCTTTAGAACATACAGATCTTGCCTTTTATTTGCCAGAGAACATAAGGAAAATATTTATTTCTTTCCAACTTGTATTCTTCCAGCTTCTAAAATGATTTCAAGTGGCTTTCAATTTCAAAACACAACAGGAAATATTAAGTATAGAAAGAGAGGCTAGAAACCATATAGGAAGAAGATAGAGTGTTATATTAGGAACTGGAACCAAGAGTTATTCCTTAAATTTACCCCAGAGTTTCCTGGTTGCCAAGGCAAGAAGGGGAACAAAGAGGTTATACAATCTGCATTTTCTAATAAAAGGGAACAATAGAAATATTTTTAAAGAGATCATATTTTTTCTGGCTTTGTGTATTAGTAGGAATTTTTGCATACATCTTTTTAGAAAAGACTTCTATGAGATGCAGTTTTGCATAAAACATAGAAAAGTTTTCAAGTGACTATTTTTCACTGAACGTCTAGGAAAGCCAAGCAAAGAACATTAGATAAGCTATTAAAGGTATTTCCTTTGGGTATTAAGCTAGCACGCAGCAGATACGTTGCTTTCCTGGGCTCTGGCTTTAATGAAAATAGAACTTAAAGGCTAAGAATACTGGTGTGTCGACTTTAGTAACTAGAGTTTCTTGGCCTAAATTGGTCTGTTGAAACTTAAATAATATGCTATTATTTAAATAGCATAAATGTGGCCCTCCACATTTTTTCATTAGGATTGCTGTAATAGCATGTTACCTGTCTTCCTGCCCCATGGTTCCATCCCTTCTTTTCCCTTTGCTTTTCTAAATCTATCACCTGCACAATTACCAGAATGACCCTAAAATAGGACTCTGATGTCACTCTGTGTTTAGACTTTTGCAGGGAGTTTCCACTGCTTGTAGGATAAAGTCCAGACACACAATATCTCTGTAACCTCCACCCCCCGCCTTTTGCTGTGCCCCTCCTTTAACTTCAGCCATACCAAACATGTGGCAGCTCTCTGCACATGTCACACTTTACTCATGATGTTGTTTCTACCTGAGATGCAGCTCTCTCCAGGGAGTGATGTTCAAAATCCCCAATAACCTGAGTGACACAAGCATACCAATTAGAGCTTGGGCTCGGCTCTGAAATACCCGTGATGTGCCAGACATTAACCCTTTAGGTTTTGGCTCATGAGGCTGTCCTGGGGCAAATAATGAGTGGCAAGGTCGGGAGAAACTTATGGGGCTTCAGACACTTTGTCAATTGGTAATAAAGTATTTTAATATATTAAAATCCAAACTGGCTGCCTGAGTGGTGCATCAGCTGAATAACAGCCTATCTCTGCCCTGTCCTTCTCTCTGCTCCATCTCATCGACACTCATTTTTACAGTCAGGAACCATTTCCTCTAAGAACCTTTTTCTGACCTCCCAGGTGCATCACTATTTCCTTTCTCCAGCAACTCATTATATCCTATATGTGGTTTCATTGTAATACCTGTATTTCCATTTTGCACAAGTTGTTCACAACTCTGTCTTTATCCCCTTGACTGTAAGCCCCGTGGAGCCAGGGGCCATGTCTAATTCATCTCTGTATCCCAGCATTTAGCACATCACCTGGCATATAGGAGGTACACAGTAAGAGTTTGATGAATGAAAATGTATTTAAAATTCTGTACCCTGACACATGAGGAAGAAATTTCCCAACAAGTATTCCCTCTAGGTATGAAATCTACCCATTCTGGTATGTTAGTGACATAATCGATTAAGACACAACAGCATTTGCAACATGAAGTTTCACTACCTTTTACCTTTTACTTTCTCTTCCTGAAGTCTCAAATCGGGAGAAAAAAAATTCAGTCCTATAACTGGAGCAAATGGAACTATTCTGGAAATTTCTCAACCATACCTCTCCAAAAATTAAAAAAAAAATTAAAAAAAAATTCTACCGTGATGGAATAGAACTTCATTTTGGTAATCTCTTTGTAGAGGAAGGGCATAAAAGTCATGGGTTACTCTTTTTCCATGTCACTCGTTGTCACAGGGAAATACAGTCCTTCCTCCTATTTTTGTCTCTTTTGTTCACTGTCTTATCTCTAGTGTCTAGATCAGTACCTGGACTACTGTAGCTGTGCAGTAAATATTTTTTGAAAGACCAGATCCAAGTAGAAGATGAGAAAACATGGCAAACAAAAACAAAAACAAAACAAAAACCAAGCTTTTCTTGAAGGGTCATGCACCCTGGTTTTTATCCTTTCCGGGGCACCCAAAAGGACTGACCTGATGACTAGGGAAATTGCCAATGGCTACATCCCAGCAACAGCCTGCGGAAATATGAAATGTGGACTTACTATCAATACTTCCAGGTGGGGACGGGAGTGGAAGCCAGACACCAGTTCCTCAAAAGAATGAGGAACAGGATGTGGCAACAGCAGCAACTTGAGTGACAATAAAAATCAAAGCCAGACATTTGGAAGAACACAGATCCATGACTATGTTCCACATCCAGTGACTCACGAAACTGAACAAGAGCCTAAAAGAGTCCCAGAATTACACTGAGTTGCCTAGTTGCTTCCTCTCTTGGCTTTCTTTCAACCAAAGGTGCAATGTCCAAGAGAAAGGTGGTTTGGATTGCCTTTAAACATGTACCTGTGTGTTATTTCAGCTCCACAAAGCGCCTCAAGTCTGTGGAGGATGAAATGGACAGTCCTGGCGAAGAGCCATTTTACACAGGTCAAGGGCGCTCCCCGGGAAGTGGCAGTCAGTCAAGCGGATGGCATGAAGTGGAGCCAGGTAAGCAGAGTGGGCAAGTGGGCATGTGGCTAACCCTGCAAAATCTACATGTGCATGGGGGGCCCACACTGTGCATAAATGTGAAGAGAGCAAGCTCAAAGCAGTTGACTTTTTGACTTTTTCACCATGGGCACTTGTTTGAATCTGACTGCTGTATTTATAAAAGGGTAGCAGTGAAAAGCAGCAATTCAACTGAAATGAAAGACTGGTAAGAATGGTACGTGATTTTCTACTCTGACATATTTTCACCTACAATGCAATTCAGCATTCCATTTGCTTTTGCTATTGTTGTTATACTAACTGCCTTTTGGGTTTGGATTTTTGAATTGTCTTTTAATAATCAAATAAAACTATCAACTTTTTCAACTGGATGGATAACATTAGAAAGGAAAATGGATTTCCTGTGTTATAATTTATATAGTACTTGAATTTTTATATAATGTGAAACTTGAAAATATTCTTTTTCTATTACTGGATATTATTATGATTCTTTTTCTATTTAAATGGAACAGTGGTATTTATGTCCATCTTTACTGAACTAAGCAAATGATGACTTCTCATCTCACCTCCCAGGGTAGTCTAGTCTTGGCTCTGGAATTTTTAGAATAATGTGAATAGTTCTGATAGCAGAAGCTTTTTGAAGTCTTTCTCCATGTCTAACCTCCACCTGGGCAAAGGGAATCTTCTGCAGTGCCTTTCCCAGTATGAAGGTCAAGCAGGTAAAGAGAATAGAGTGTGGGCTTTGGAATCAAAGGGGCAGAATGTAATCCTGGCTCCAGCTCCTGACGGCTGTGTAATTATGGACAAATTGCCTAACCTCTTTGAGCCTCTGTCCCTACTTTTATAATCTATCAATAACAATAGCTGTTTCAATGCTGTTGAGAACTAAGTGAGGTAACATAAGAACTAAGTGAGAACTAACCACCTAGGAATTATACCCAGTACAGTTTGAAAAAAATGTTTTCTGACCATTCTCCCCTACTCATGCCTCAGAGTAATTTCCTGCAAGAACAGATGAGCACCAAGAAAATCTCAGAACTAACCCCTTCATCTTCAAATCTTAATTTCTTTCTCTCCTCCCTAACATCAAAAGACAATGCTTAGAGGGTGTGACTATAAAGGGATAGCATGAGGGAGATTTTTGGGGTGATAGAACTGTTCTATATCCTGATCGTGGTGATGGTTACAGGAACCTGTGCATATGTTAACATTCACAGAAATTTATACCTTCCACCTCCCTTACCTGCCCCCAGGGAGTTTTACTGTATGATAATTCAAAACAAAACAAAACCTCAGGCCTCACTGGCTAAGTCCTTTATCTTGCTCCCTTTACTAAAACGCAGAAATTTCACTTAGCCTTGCTTAGTATACTTAATCTTCTCACTCAACTCATCATTTATTTATTCATTCACTCATTCAGCAGTCTTCATTGGGAACTTTCTCTGGATGAAATGCTATTCCTGGTTCTGGGAACTCAGGGATGAATGAGAAGGCTATGGCTCCTGCTTTCAAGGAATTCACAACCGGGGGTGGGAAACAGACAGATAAGAAGCACATGATACGGCAAGATGGGAAGTGCAAGGATGGGGATATTAGCCTCCGGTGCCACGTTTTTCTGTTTTTACCAACACAGCACTCGAGATGTGGTGGGTCTTCTATAAAGGTCATACATCAGCTGCACTCTACACAGTCCGTCTAAAGTAGCTAAGAAATAAACCCAGGCCTAAATGAAAATGAAAATGCTGACTCCTTATTGCCACTAACTGCATCATCAGCACGACCTCAGTATAGTGCCAGTGAAAAGTTTATGTGCTATTAAAAAATTAAAAGATGTAAAACTTTTTTGGATCCTTCTTAAAAGGCTGATTGAGCCCTAGCCAGTTTACCTGCTTCAGTGAAAATGAGAATCAAAATATGCAGGTTTGGTACATTTGTGCTTGAGTATGGTGCTGATGTAGTTTTAGGCATCTCAAAGCTGTCTTTATTGTGCTGATATACATGAAGCTCCTTCATCATGAGACTGTTCTTTGGGTCCTTAAGTAGATGGCTTTGGGGCATATTTGAAAGCAGTGGGGTTGGTTGAATATAGAGTACTTTGAGCTGTAACTCTTATTCAGGGTAATTATTTCTGTATCAGCACGTTACATAAGGACCAAATAATCATGAACTTTAATGTCTGAATACCCAAATTCTTTGTACTCATTAAATAACTAAAGTTGAATGGCTGAATCCTTTTGGGAGGAGAGATAGACTAGATAAGTGATAGGTAGGTAGGTAGGTAGGTAGATAGATAGACAGACACACAGACAGATAGAGTATACCATATGTTACATATATACACACACACACATATATATATTGACTAGACTGATTCTTCATTTTCTATCCCTATGTCATTAACAGAAAAATGCAGTTTCATGGTATATGTATGTGAGGGGTGAGGGAAGAGTGGATAAATTTACATTTGGCCACATTCAACGTAGAAAGTCATAATTGAAACGGGGCCTGAGGGGACATTAAATCTCAACCAAAGGATGTTATACACGTTCATGGTGACTTTGGTGTCATTAACTCACACCAGCCATTTTAAATAGATAATTTATGCTGCCATATGGTCCTTTTGGGGGATTTTCCATCTAGCCCAATCCCCTTTTTGGCACAGGGAACACCCTTATGTTGTTCCCACACTGATCGGGGCCTCTATGGCTTTTCCCCAGGGGTACAGTTCATTGAGTGGGAGGCTTTTAGTGGTTCACTCATGTAAATTACCTTCAGAGCATGTTGGGAGTTATGTACATCTGAACACTCCAGCAGCCTCTTGGTTGCCTATATTTGGGATAATTCTCTCAAACCCGTCCTGAAGGATACTTTGTTTATGCCTCAGATGTGACACAGGAAGCAAAGCCTGTACTTACTCCTCACTCAGAGAGCTTTGCATCTGTTTACCTGCCCTCAAATGCTTTTCCAGGACTCCCCAGCCAAGAGAGGGATGAAGGTTGCCAGAAGAGACAAATTTCCTTGAGCAATAGGAAGGCTTTGGAAAGTAAAACAAACCAGACATGCAGTAAATTACATGGCCTCTTTCAAATGTCTTTTGTAGTATCCTGTTCCCCATTAGTTTATCTCAGCACTTTTAGTGCACAGCTCTTATTATCTAGGAAGAAGGGCATAGGAGATTAAAGATGATGTTAGTTTAAAAACATCAGACAACCTCACGCTAACTTTTGCTTCTCTTACAATGCTGCATTTGTTCCCTCCACTTAGTTTCGTTTCCCCGTTATCTCAAAACTTGGTTAGATTCGAAGCTTTGAAGCTAATCACGCACTGATGAAATGAGTCCTATGAAATTCTATCAAGCAAAAATGTGCACGCCATCAACTGTTGTTTATTTATACAAATGAAATATTGCTAAGAAATTGATAATACAAATAAAGAGGAAGGAAACCAACAGCCAGGAGCCTACATTGAGTCAGACACTGTGCATGGTGCTTTCATATATATAGTAAAAATTATAGTTACAATCATTTGAGTACCTACTGGCTACCAGGTGTCTTTTTTTAAATTACCCTTCTCTAAAATCTGCAAGATAGAATGATTCTGCCTCAGTAGAGATGAAAACTGAGAATTGTAATTCAGAATCCAGTCTTCAACCTAAATCTGATTTCAGAATATAAGTCTTCTACATTCAATAACCTCTTTTATCAGAAACATTTTTGCTTGTTTTTTAAGGTTTCATGTCCTGGGCTCTTATTTAAATTAAAAACATAATTAAAAAAAATAATGATCAGAAAGACCTGGAAAATCCTCCACTTTCTTTATCCCAAGTCCTTGTTATACAACGTAGGCTGGGGAAGGGATGTGGACTATGAAACACATATAGGATATGATATATAAGCAAATAGTATTAACTGTTAAGAAAGTGAAATATCTATCGTTTTTGCCTATAAAATCAAATAATCCTCAGCATTCAAATCTGTGTTCAAATAATAGTTCATCAGAGAGGGAGGCTCCCAGTGACCTGAAATAGCTGCTGAGGCTTTTCTGTCATACCATAATTCATAACTCCGCTTCCCTTTCTTCATACCGCTATCTACTGTTAGTGACTGCTTTATCCCTCTGGAATATACACTTCATGAGCAATGGGACTTAGTCTGTCTTTTCTATAGACTATGCATCCATAATAGTCTCCGGCACATGATAGGTACTCAATAAATAAATAATGAATGAATGAATGAATGAATGGAGCCTATAGAGCAGAGAAAATTGGGCACTTTTAATAAATCTGAAAGCAAAATTTGCTACCAATAATTCTCTCAGAATTAATGTTTCGTATAGTCTCAATCTATAGGCCGTTATTTAGTCAAATCCAATTATTAACAAGTAGTAAGCAAAGTGATTGCTAAAGGCTCAGCCAAGGGCCCCAGTGACAAGTAGTAGTGTATGAAATTTTATTACAAGTATCCCTTGACTTAAACAGTTTTTAAAGTAAATCAAGCTTCATGGATTATTGAGCTGCATAACTTCCTGAATTTGAAACTGTACCTGCATTAACCACATTCATACAGTCAGTTTCAGCAGAAGTAAAGATAATTTCTTTATTGTGAAACAACATGAAATTGTAGGACTTTTCAGTGAAATTTAGTATGTTTTTGAAAACTGGAGAGGCTACTTAAGTTTTTTCTTACAAAAAATATTCAAAATTCTAGCATGTCATTAATTATACTATAATTGTAAAACCTTATTAACAAATACAATTCCATTAGCCAAAATGCTAAAAGTGCTAAACGGTTCAGTGAAAAGTTTTTAAGTCAAATTTGGTAAGTAGTAAGTTTAGCTGTAGTTATTTTCTTAAAAATTTTTAGAGATAAACTTCTTTCAGAGATGAACTTCTTCTCAAAGACTTAGTAGTCCTCACTTTTGAAGGTCAAAATTAAGTACTATAATGGTCTACTGTGTGTTCTTATCACAATTATTAAATAAAGAAATAAATACATTTATTT